TTCCTGCTGTGTTTTTTTTCCTTCCTTTTTCTTTGCATGCCTGCTAGGTTTCTGCAGTTTTATTTCTCCCTTGCCTCTCCAGGGAGAAGCATTAGCTTTCATGGAGGTGACTTACAGTTTTTCCAAGCAGAAAGTATTTCCATTCCAGGTTTGCTGACAATATCCAGGTATGTGTTCAGGATCCAGCCGAGGAGCCTCATTCAGAGCTGCTACTTCTGGTGTCCGATAAAGCGACACGGTACAAGACCCTTCTCTGTACAAAGCATCAGGCAGTTCCACCAGCTAATGGCAGAGTCTATCAAAGAATTAATTCCCTCCATCTTCCTCTCCTGGCCAAATTTAACAATAACAGGGAACACTAAATGACTGAAGTAATTTTGAGTTTCACATAGTGCTATTAAACCTATGAACTGAAGGTGTTACCAGAACTGCCTGAGCCTTGACCTTGGCGTCTGGTTTTGGATGGACTTGTGCCTTTTCTCTACAAAACAGTCCCAGAGCTACAAAACAAGAGCAGCTCCATTCGTTCCAGCTCCTCCGTTGCTCCCCTTGCGAGTGTGCGGACGAGCGTGGCACGTGCTGCCAGGCACAGCCCTGGCCTCCCTGCAGCGTCTCCTCCGCTCTGCCCTTGCTCTCAGTTTGCGCTGACAAATGTTCCCTGCTTCAGCCCAGTGCTCAGTCCTGCAGCTCACGAGGCCGTGGACGGTCTCCCCGCTGCTTTGCACACCAGAAACCCACCACGTGCTCTGCCTTGGGGAGAGCTGTCTGAGACCCAGCCCTGGGTATGTTTCGGGCTGCCTCTAGTCCCTGGGATTTTCTCCCATAATTCTCATCCCAGGCATCTTAATGAGACCAAGCACCTGCTCTTAGCGTAGCAGTGAGTGTTTCTCCTGAGCTGCTCCAAATTCTGTCTTGTCAGCTTGTTATTTACGTGCTTGTGCAGGTCATGACTCCCTGGGGTGGGAGTCACCTGAGTTTGCCCCTCGCCAGCTCGTCCATCCTGCGTGGGCAGGTCCTGCTGTTTCTCTTGTACCTATAAGCATCACCAGGAAGGTTTGCCTCCCAAAAGGCTTTAGGGAAAATCCTTCCCGTGGTAAGGATCCATCCCAAGCCTTTGCCTTCCAGGACATCAAGACACACTCTGGACTTTTTCATTGGGCACAAGAGTGGCTACTGAAGAGCTTGAGGGCAGAATTTGTATGCTGAGTACTCCCAGCTCGCTGCGTGCCACAATTCTCAGGCATCCCGGTGTGTGTGGATCAGGGGTGCAGCTAGGGCAGATCTCGCTCTCAGGAAAAGCTAGTTGTTTCATTCACTGCCCCGTCACCATGGAGGCAGCTATCCTAAAACCTGTCGTTTGTCCCCGTGTTTGTGACGTGCCCCTTTAGCCATGTGCGCAGTGCGACACCGAGGTCTGTGCGCCAGCTTCCTCCTCACTCGTACGGATAAAGAAATATTCCCAGCAGGCTGAGACTGGCTCTAGGAATAGCTAATGAGAGCTGAAATCTCAACCTGGCATTAACACCATTCTGGCTGAATGGGATTATGAAAAAATCTTCTAAATGTCTTTTAAATGTAAATGTCTTGCAGGGGGAAGTCGATGAATCTTTGTGGCTCATTCGGTTGCGTGTGCGTGAGCCTGACGTGCCCCGAATGCAGGTTTCTCACTGAGCTCATTTGTACCCATTTGAGGGCAAGCGTGGAGAGTGTTTGGCCCTCCTCGAGGGTCCGTTTCTCAGAAATGCCTTTTGTGAAGCAGTGAGCTATATGATTACTTTGGTAATTGTCCCCCTCTGAGAACATTTGGAAAAGCGGGAGTGAGGAGGTTGAAATACTACCTGACATCCATGTGCAGCAGCTTCCCTGGCAGGAAGAGAGCAAGACCAAGGGCACTGATGGAGCCATCCCTGGCACAAACCCCTTGATGTGTCACAGTTTGGCAGGTGCCACGTTACAAATAGAGGTGCCTAATGGTGGCCTTGGCCATTAGCACCTGTTGGGGCAGCTGGTTTTTCTGTGACCTGTGACCAAATCCTAGCTGTGCAACCCTGCACTGGGGAGCAAGGCACTGTCTGCCTCACCAGGGACTGGTGTCAGCTCCCCTGATCTCACTTTTGATGCCTACTCTAGATGTGTTAATCCTTTCCAAAGGATTAAATTTCCTTATAGGCAATTAATTATAAACAAATATCAACTAATCAGTGAATGAAACCAGTGCTGATTTATTTACTTATTTTGTACAAGGAGAGCGACTTTAAATGGATCCTGTCTAAGCAGACTGCCTGGGAATCACTGATTTTTGTAAGGGAAGAGACTTCTGTAGATGCCGTTCATTTCCAAGATATGTCAAATGAGGCTATTTAATTACTAGCTTGCTTTAAAATGCAAATTAACCACTCGACAAATTCAATTTCTTTTGCAGCTTGAATTTCAGTGGAGTCCATCTGGCATCTGCTGGGCAGTTTAGCGACTTCCTGGGCAGCATGGGCCCTGCACAGTTCGTTGGGCGTCAGACCTTGGCCACCACCTCCATGGGTAAGGAGCACAAAGGGGTTTGTTAGGTGGCTTTAATTTGATACGGAACTAACCGCTTTTGCGAGCCACCTAATAGTGTGTCCAGCATCTGCTGCTCTGCCATTTCCCAGCTCAATTTCTCTGTTAAATTAAATAAGCCTGGCTGAGAGGTTTTGCTGGTTTCTGCTAATACGGTATTAGGAGGCGAATACCAGCTTTCTGCTTTCTTCTGTCAGATCTGAAAAGCACAGACTAGGTAGAACCCTGAAAATGCATTCTGTGCATCTTCATGTTTTTCTTGCTCTCTAAGACCCGCTAGACTCTCCAAATATTTTCTTATGGTGCCCCATAACTGTGTTTTCCAAAGCACCCTGCAATTCTAGGTGCTTCATTTTGGGAGGAATTAGAGGCTAGCTGTCACTGAAGAATATGAGACCGAGTCACCAGAGCTGTGTCAGAGGGCTGAAATTAAAGATTACTTTTGAAAATGTAGGCTTGAATCGCTGTAGAGCTGCCCTAGAGTAACTCGGGAGAAAATGAGGCACTCAGGGCCTACAGTTTGTCACAGCTCAGAGCAGACGTGACAGGAGGATTTCTATTAAATATATATGTATATTAGCTCACAGGTGCATCTTTTAGAAAATCTTCTATTTTGACATTTTGGTTTAGGGGATGTGGAAATTGGCTTGCAAGAGCGAAATGGGCAGCTAGAAGTGGACATCATTCAGGCCCGAGGACTGACGCCAAAACCCGGCTCCAAAACACTGCCAGGTAATGTGCTTTGACCACCCGAAATAAATCACTGAGCCTCCTGCGATGCTTTCCAATAGGTACAACTTAGATTCCGCTTGCCTCATGTGGGAATAAGCTTCTGTGTCTATATATGGTGCTGAAAATGAGGCTGGTTGAGCAAGTCTTTTCGTTGCTGTAAATGCTGTCTTTAGAAAGAACACTGTCTTTTCTAAAGTGAGCATGAAGATTTTTTTTCATATTTGACCATATTTGTTTTTTCCAGCTGCTTACATCAAAGCTTACCTGCTAGAGAATGGCGTGTGCATTGCGAAAAAGAAGACAAAAGTGGCTCGCAAATCATTAGACCCTTTGTACAATCAGGTGTTACTCTTTCCTGAGAGCCCCCAGGGCAAAGTATTACAGGTAAGACGAGCAAGTCTCAGGTCTTCCCGTCTGTCTTCTACCTCTGCTGGAATATATTAAGTCTGGCGAAGGATCTGGAGAACTAACACTGATGAGATAACGTTAATGCTTTCACTGGACCAACTGCACTAAACATTGCAGTGGAAAGGAAGAACTTTATTCATGCCAGAAATGATTCCTATTTGACACCCTGCCAGGTAACAGGAGTGCCCACCGGGAAAAGGTTGATTTTTTCCTCTTTAGGAGGTAGAGCAGCTAAACAGTCTCACAGCCAGGATGTCTTCTGTGTTTGTATGTATTCAGAGCACTCTCTGTGTCATCCTGCAATCACATATCTTACCTCTTTCTACCTTTGCTCTTTTACTCCCATATATTTTCTGTCACACTGCTCACATTTTCAATTATGTGTTTCCATAGAAAAACTGATTTGCATTGTTAATTCATTTCTGAATCATTTGCACCCAGTAAACCCTGGCTAAAATCCAGTGGTAATTCTGATTTAACTAAGTTGTGAGTTTCTGTTGCTTAACCACCACTGGCATATGAATTGGGAGACAACCTGATGGATCCTTCTCATGAAAGGATGCCTCAAAGCTGTTCCCCCTTGCAGACGGTGTGTGTTTTTGATTGCAGTGTAGCAGGGCCTGTTTTTTCCTGCTCATGCACCGCGGGAGTTTCTTGCAGCCCTGCTGCCAAGGGGACCTTCAGCCTCACATCTCTGTGGAGCGCAACGATGTTGCTGACACAGGAGGGAGTGAGGCAGGCAGGCCAAGGTACCTCAAAATTAGCTTGTTAAGACTGTTGTTGAAGACAGTGAGAACTGTTGATTTTGTCCCCAACAAGGCCAGGATCCAAGAGCATTAGAAGGGAGGCCATGTGTGAAGCAAAACATCGGTCTCTGATGAGAGAGGTGAGCAGCTGGGTCTGTCAGGGGTGACTTGCAAAGACTGTCCATATTCAGCCTCAGCTGCTGCTGGAAAAGATCTCCTGGGTGTATCCAACATTGTCTGTTTTGGGCCAGCGTTTCCGCTTCTGCCACCCGCTTTGGCTGACAAGTCTTTGCCGTAGCCTTTCTTTCTCACCAGACCTAGGCAGGGAGGCAGTGAGAAATGCCCTTACCTTGTCTTGGCCTCAGCTGCCAGGTACTGATTAGCATTACAGCAGAAATTGAGAAGCAGGCCAACAAAATGACAAAATGATGTCCCTTGTGAGGCCTCCCAGCAATCTCCTAACTGTGTCTTTGTGTTTGCAGCAGACCTGGTAAGAAAGGGCAGTTGGTCCCCTTGCAGAGAAGGCTGGGACTGTGCCTACCTCTCTGCAATTCTGCCTTGCCCTGTCCCACTCCATTTACTTACGTCTTTCAGTGTATCTTAAAGATGTATTTCAATGTCTGGTTGGAACTTATTCAAAGGAACTTATTCAAAATAAAATTATGAGGATGATTCCCTGCCAGTTGATATGCCACCAAACCAGCTTTCAGCAGTGTCTTGCTCCATCTGGTGCCAGCTTCTAGAGTGCTCCTAGACTTTTAATTGACATTTATTGTCTCTCCTACTGCACTTTACAGAAAACTATGATGTTCCAAGCCTAGGGAGAAAAAGCTGTCAGGATTAGCCAAAGATCCCTGGTCACCTTCATAACCCATCATACTCATCTTCTCCTCTTCAGAACACGGACTCGCTCTGGAGTCAGGCGTCACCTTTGTCTTGAACCACGTAGGACCGTTTGGTCTCGTGCAGATCTCCAGCATGTTTAAGCCCATGACCCTCACTACATCTGTTGTTCCACCCACTGGTCTCCATCATGTCGTAAGTGTGATTCAGCCCTCCCTGCTCGTCTGTGCCAGCTCTCTTTCATTTGACCTTCCTCTGCAACTTGAAGCCTCTCTGGGCAGCCTGTTCTGCTTTCCCTGCATGCCACTCCATGTGTGCCCCTTATGTCACTGCTCCCGCTTGCCAGTGCTCAGCTCCTGCCCTTTCTCCAGGTGAGTAACCACGTCTCCCTGCCATCTGCCATGTGTCACGAGGTCTGATGCAGCAGGTAGGACGTGCTCTGTTCCTCAAGCTCCTGGCTCCTGACCCAAGCTATTGCCCACCATTTTTTTTGTTGGTTTGTGCCAACAAGAAAATCAGATCAAGGGCCCTCCCTGCCCTTTTCCTGCAGGCCACTTTTTGCCTGTCATGTTTGAGGCCTACGGTCATGTCAGGAATTGCTTGAGGGCGTTGGAGTTGCAGCTCTGGGGGTGTTTGTGCATGGCGGGGGGCAAACAGCAGGTCCGTGATCGGTTTTTGACCCAGGATCCTTGTTTATAATGTCACCCACTCCCTTTGATCACTTAAAATGTGAGCACGCTGGCCTCACATGACAACACGGTGAAGTTTTGTGGGTATTAGTGTGATGGGTGTTCCTTGCTCATCTCGAGGAGATGTGGGGCTTGAGGGTTATTATATTGGCCTTTCCTCTATCAGTGCTAGGGTGTAGAGCGCTCACTTCATTACTTCCAACAGGAATGGCCCTGAGTCCTTCCCCTGCTAGTATTCAGGTCACAGTTTGCTCTTACTTCAGAAGTCATGAGGTAAAAAAAAAGCCAAAACACTTTCACCTCTCAAAAAGGATTAAAATTAAAATTTAGGAAGGTTGAAATAGTTTAATTAAAAAAAATGAAGGAGCCTGTGCGTTTGAACTCCGCATTTGCAGTTCCAGTCCTGAAATACAAATTTATGCTGAATCAAAAGAAAAAAGGACAATACTGAACATGGCTGTGCTCCTAGATAGATGCCTGAGTCACAGATCCCTAGTCTCTTCTGACACAGACAGTAAATTGGTCTCCAGCAGAAAGAATCTTTTTCAAGATGGAGTGAAGCAGATGCATTAAATCTGTAACTTGGAGATTTTGTTAAAGAAAATTTCAGGAAGAAAATAAATTTTGTGAAGAAATAACTGTCAAGAATTTCATATCTGAAATGGCCTGTCCCATCACACTGCATAAAAAGAGCAGCTACTAGAACTGAATGAAAAATTGGCATTTCTTGTGCAGGAAATTGCAGTATTTCCATGATTCTTTCCACACCAAAGCAGGAGATAAAGCTCTGGAAACCACCTCGGTTGCATTGCTGTCCTGATGCACTGTGTGTTTCACCAGCAAGCCCTCCTGTGAGCTTCTGTGGGTGGAAGAATTTTGTGTTGCGCAGACTCAGAGGGAAATAGTCGATTCTGTTCAGCAAATAAAATGTTTTGATTTGCCCAGTGCTGCTTTGAAATGACTGCTTGCCATGTGGGTTGTCACTGCACCTGCATGTTGTGTAGCAGAGCCCAGAGGCTTCTCTGAAGCTGTGTGGAGACACTGCAAAATCTAATGCAAGATTTAGAGGTGAGAAGATGACAGAACGGTCTCACATGGGGGCCTTTTTCCCAGTTCAAGCCCAGAGGTCACTTAATATTAACTGACCTGTGGGGTTTTGGTCTAAAGACACAAAGGTAACAGACTTGGAAATGATCATTATTGTCATTTTATAGATGGGGAAATCAAAGGTTTTATGCCTGGCTTTGTGCAACATAAGGGAGCTTTTTGCAGATGCAGTGGAAGGAGGGTTAAGTCTAAATCTAGAATGGATGCAGAGACTGTGCGTACTCTGATCCTGTGCAGCAGTTTGTGCTAGAGCTTGCATCCACACAGGCTTCCAGCTCTTTTTTTTCTGGGAAAAAAATCTAATATTAAGATCTGTAAAACTGATTAAAAAATAAAAGCAAAGCCTTCAGGTCACTGACAGCCCAGCATGTACCTGTTGAAGGATTTCTGCACATCTCAGGCCCTCTTCTCTGAGACATAATGGCAAGTTTAAGTTTGTTTGTTTAACCAGTTGTCTCAAATACAGAAGAGTGGTGTCCTGCTTTGTGTAGAACATGGATGGCCTTTTCAAAGTCAGAGAAGTTGAATAAATTGGAAGAATAGCAGAAAAAGAAGGAATAGAAGGATTGATCAGACTTGTGTTACCAAAGCAAGCGTGCAAGCCCAAGAATTAACTGTGTGCCCTGCTCTTGTTTTGAAGGTGATAGTGTGGGGAAACTACGGCCGCATGGAGCGCAAGCACTTCATGGGAGTCGCCAGGGTGCTCCTGGAAGAACTGGATTTGTCAACTTTAGCAATCGGCTGGTACAAGCTCTTCCCGACCTCCTCCATGGTGGATCCCACTACAGGCCCGCTCCTGCGTCAGTCCTCACAGCTTTCCTTGGAGAGCACGGTGGGACCCTGCTGTGACAGGTCTTAGTGAGTAAGGAAGGGGGAACTGCTTTTGTTTTTTAAACATGCTGTCAAGGTTTTGTTTGCTGGAACTCTGACCTCAAGCGCGATGCATGTTCAATCAGTTCTTGTGGAGCTGGAAGAGGAGGATAAACCAGTGACCTTAGACAGAAGACAAGGGGGAGGGCGCTGTGTCCTCTCCATCCGAGGAGGAGGTGCCATGGGGCATGAGTCCTAGTTGTCAATTTAGACATACACCTCTTGTTTCACTTCTCTCACTGTCATTCTTGGACCCTTGTTTCAGATCAGTATTAATTCTGGAAAGTTGCAGCATTTTAAAGGATTTAGAAGGAATAAGGAAGGTGTTTGTTTCTTAACTTTGTATCTTACAAATTTCTAATATGGACGCCATCTGATAGCACTTGAAAAATTCAGAAGCCAATATCTGACCTAAAAAGAACAGGGGCAGAAAGTTTAAGAGAAATCCTGATGGTTTTGTAAGATCTATTTTTTTCTTGAAAGAAAGAAAGAAAACTGCAACTCTTTCTCTAGTATAAATCCACCCCACTGAATCATGTTAACTGTAAAACTGTTGTTGCTGTGTTTTCAAACTGTGCCAAATTACCAGCAAGTGTCTTTACTGCGTTACTTGTCTAACACTGCTGATGAAGCATACTTGGTAGGAGAGTAAGTAGAGGGTCTTAGACCAGGCAGTTTAAGCAGAGGTTGAGTTTAGTGAATGAATTAGCTGCAGTTTTGCTCAGAACAAATACTAGGAGTTGAACATCAGACCTGCAGCTCGAGATGAGGTTTATGTTGTCAGATACAACGTGCTGCGATTTCCTGACTCCCTTTCTTGTCGCTGTGCATCCTTCAGTCGCAGTGTCTTCTACCTCCTGCTTTCCACCCATCTCCTGTGTACCAGTACATATCTGCTGGAGATGCTGCCCTTCCTGTCGTGCTAGGGACTGAAACGGGGCTGTCGTTCTCTGCTACAGGAAGGAGATTGAGTTTTCTGAGGGTGCAGGAGAGAGAAACCTCAGTTTATCACCCGACAAGAGGGTGCTGGAGAGCAAATAACCTTCCTTGCAGAAAGCAAAAGAGGCTGCTTTAGTGCTCAGTAGTCCAAGCTTTGGCAAGTGTCCTGAAAGAGGAGAAGTTGTCCCCAAAGTATGGAGTGGTAGTGGTTGAGGAATCAGAAGGCACGATGGTCACAGCATGTGTATTTTGTTAATTTAAGTGCAGCACTAGCTCTAAAGAAGTCGTGTCTATTAACCCAGTAAAGCACATTCTCTGCAACACTGAGCTGTGGCCGCTGTTGTCATGTGCTGGATCCCTCAAATTATTAAAACCTTTTGGTTGAAAACACTTGCTATCCAAAATACTAGGGAATCTTGAAAGATTCCCTGTCGGTAGACCTTTTCTGCTAGATTTTATTGTAACTTTTCATGAGGATTTGATGACTACTGTCTCAAAATAAGATTTTGGGAATATTTTACTTAGTGATTTAAAAGTCAGGGTCCCAGTCACATTTAGGAGTTAGCAGATTCTTGACCCATCCCTGAGACGTACTGAACACTCGTTTCTGCGTGGGGGCCTCCGCTTTGTTAGAATAAAGGCATGAGTGTTGAGTGGATGGTAAAAGTTGCTTTTGGTCCTAGCTTGTCTATGGCATTTTAAATTATTTTGAAGTAAATTACAAGATAGATGCAAATATAATAGGCCTTATAATAGTCTCTGTAAAAAATGGTATATTATAAAGGGGAGGAAAGGAGGAGAAGGGACATAGAATGAAAATTTTTAGAGTCTTAAATGGCAAAAGCTTCAACATTTCAGTTAAATCTCTTAATTTCCTTGATCAAATATGTCTCTGGCCTCTCACTAATTATTTTTTCTAATCGTATTAGACAGTTTCTATATATTAACTGAAGAAAAGTTTGTTGCATGCCGATCAAACTATGTTGTGGCTCTTTTTTCTTTAAAGGAAAGCACATTTACTGTAATTCAGCATCTTTTCCTCTTGGTATGTAGTGAGTACTAGGCAATATTGTACAATATGTGTATGAACTAGAATATTAGGTAGATTTAGTGGTTTGTAGCACTGGATCTTTTACTAACTATGTCTTTAAAAGGACTGTGGGGAACTACAGATACATTCCAAACCTACTGACTGAGTAACAGGGGCTCTGTCTGTTAAAAACTTTATATGGGTATTTTGTTTGGACATTATCTACCTGTAATATCTAGGTAATCATGTTTTTCCTATGTCCTGTTATATGAATGCAACATTTTTATAGTCTTTAATGGGGAGTAGGAGACTATACATGCCAAAAAAATCCCCTCAGAAAACTTCCTTTAATGACTCTCTGTTGAAAAGCTAAGTTCCTCCCTGCCTAGCAAATGCAACGTGTCCAACCCCTCCAAAATCTCTGCAAGCTTCTTGATCGGTTTAGTTAAAATAAGCCTATTTAACATTGAGGACTATCTTCTGTATGTTCTAAATCTCTCTCCAAGTTCATTGTCAGGTTAAAGGTGACGCTGCTACTTGTGTTATTCTCACGTTCTGGGGTTCAGAGGCAGTTCTAATGGTCTGACCCTGGGCTGTTTCCCTCTGCTGATTTGCACTGTTGCTTTTAGTCACCCCCGCGTCCCACAGAAGGTGCCCGTTGGGACCCAGGGCCCCGCGTGGAGCCCGGTCGCTGCCTCCAGCGAGGCCGGGACGTTCCCCACGGAGCAGGAGCCGCTTCGGAGCGCGCGGGGCGCAGGGCCTGGGCCGGGGGCGTTTCGCTGTGGTGTCCAGTCCGGGCTCTCCCTTTGTTCATCCCCATGATTCCTGCACCAACTGTGGCGAGCTACAGTTTAAAAAAAAAAGAGAAACAAAGACAAAAATGAAGTCTTCTAGCTCTCCATCAGTTTAAAGATTCCCAGGGTAGCCCCCAGGGCAGGTCTCAGGCTTGGAAAAATTTATATTTGTAAAACTTTTTTTTTTCCAGAAATTTGACTAGCCAGTTTCTGTCTAAGGTGATCTGATGATTATTTTGATTACATCAGAAGTAGCAGCTTGCTAAGTGATGGGCAGCTGAAAACTAAACTTTGGTCCCCTTTAGAAGTCCTGAGTTTTTTACGTGTCTGAATCTAGCTGTTATTTCTAATCAGGGAGCGGGAGAGAGAGGAAGAGCCAGGAGACTGGAAAAAGGACGTTGTAGCATTGTAGAGTGATGGTGAGGGACGAGGCTGGGGACAGACGAACGTGTGCCCGGCTCGGGGTTGGCTCCCTGTTCGCTGCGCAGCAAATACTGTGCTCCAGTAGGAATGGGAGGATTGCGTGCAAGAGAAACGGAGAGCAGGGCCTTAAGTGTTCGTTTATGTGGGATTAATGACCCTGTTGCTGCGTCATCGCGAGCGGGACTGTCCCTCCCCAGCAGGATTTCCCGGTGCTCACAGGGAGCAGGAAACCCTCGAGTGAAAAACGTGCCGCTTTCCCAGTCTCCTGGTGTTGCTTCCCCTTTGCCCCATCGCGGCCGTGTCCCGGGCTCCGCGGGGCCGTGTCCCGGGCTCCGCGGGGCCGTGTCCCAGGCCATGGCGCCGGGTTGCTTGGCCGAGGGCATCCCCTCCTCTTGGCCGTGGGCTGTTTGGAGAAGCCCACAGCGCCGTTTGAATAGCGATAGATATTTCACGTTTCTAGCTAGTGGATCCTTTATCAATGTACTGTTCTAAATTTGCAGGTCTTCTGGAGTCAGAATATCACAAGTTCCTGCTCAGGAGCTATTTTTAAGCTGTTGAGGCAGTTAACAGGATCTCAACCTAAGCATGTTTAGTAATGTTTAGACAGCAAGACAACTTTTTTATGAGACTCATTTTAAGTTAGTTTATTACATGCTGTTAGTAATATTTTAAAACAGGAAAAATATTTTTCTTTAAAGACAAAATGATGTATGTTTTTTAACAGATAACATAATTTAGTGTTTTCAAAAACCTTTAATGTTCTTGGTATGGAGTTTACTCATTCTTTTGATTTATATGTTCCTTGTTATATTTTATCAACTTTTTTTCCAAAAGAAAAGAGGCATATGTAAATAAACACCAGAAAAGAGTCCTATAGGAAGCTCTGTTCAAAGTGACCATAAAATTATTAATAAATATTTGTTATTGTTCATTAAATCTCAGCTACTAATCAAGCCTTTGTTGAAAAAAAATTGATGTTGTATTTTCAAGATGAAAACTACTTAGCTAGTTTTGTCATAATCCTGTACTCTGTATAAAAATCTTTTTATAAAGAAAGTCTAATAGGCTAACAAGCAATAATATATTCCATTTGGTGTGCACAGATTGTGACTTGCAGGCTGTAGTACATATTGTTGATACAGTTTATAATTGTCTTCAATCTCAATGACATCACTTTTGAAACAGCTCCATATTAACCTTGAAATGATTGTAAAAATGAAGATTGGGCTGTTGCCGTGTAAGAAATACTCATCGTATAAACTTTGCTGTGAGCATTTATGCCCATTGACATGAAACGTCTCTTAGGTGAAGAATGAAACGGCTGTAGGTGACTTCATACTACAGAGTTAAAGTAGTTTCGATATAAACTTCATGACTGTTTCAATCTCCCTGTTTTTCTTAGGCTATTTAGTATTTGTAACTCAATGCGAATGTTTCCCACTGCCACTGTAGCCCTGATGAAGCAAAAAAGCCTTTGCCTTGTGGGGCTGCCCGAGTCCTGCCTGGTCCCTGCCCGTGCTCCTTGGGAGACCAAGGCCGGCCAAAGGGCGTTTTTTTCAGAGTCAGCAGGTTGAGCTGCTCATTTCGAGGCTTTGTGGGTTATTTTGTTAGCTTCATAGATGGTATTTAGCCATTTCATTAGGAAAATTCCACCCAAGGTAGAGATAAAGCACCTTCGCTATGTATAACGTGGGACTGATGTGTAAATCAGGCTGTTTTGGACCATTCTTCAGAAAATTAGTTAATGCTGGCCTCATCTAAAGACTTTTTCAAAACGGCAGGATCAAGATACCAGATTTTAAGTCAGCTCCATCATTAATGCAGTGCATAAAGGTAAAACAGCTTCAAAAGAACATCCCAGTTCATTGCCTGTGGATTTCTCACGCTGCTTCCCATGGTTGGCTCTCAAGGTTGCCTGTCTGCTGGCCGTGCAGACCGTGGTGTCACTGGCCAAGCGAGGCCAGAAGCCCAGATGAACAGTGAAACTCATGGTTGTTTGTGAAATGCTTTGAGAATAAAAAGAGCTATGTAAATGCAAAGTGCTGGTGTATATAATTCCAGGAAAACACATCACAGCATCTTCAATAATGCAAAGGGACATTATCAGATCTGGAGTGAGCACCTCATGAAATTGCAGCTACTGAATTTGAGCCAAATATTTAGAAAGGGAAAATTACTGGAAGTCTTTTCATATTTACCCCAGCGTGCGCTTGCCCACGTGTGCATTTTTTTTGTGCGTGCCTGTATGAATATGTAGGGCACCCGCCACAAACACTGCTTTGGGAGGTGTCCTTCGGGAGGTGAGACCGCTCTGAAGGGGCTGGCTGCTTGTGCAGGCAGCGTCTTGTTCCCTGGCACGAGCGCTTTGCCCCTGGAGCCCTCCAGTCTGAAGTGCAGCCCTTGGTGCGTTGGTGCCAGGGCCCCGGGCTGGTGCTGCCACCCGCTGCCTCCCGGCACCTCCAGTGTGTGCCCACGGGCCGAGCGTTTTCCAGCACCGCGTTGTCCCGCTGGCCGGCAGTGAGGAGTGAGACCCTTCCCGTGGGAGTGCGCAGGTACCCTCAGAATGGGGCTCCGAGGCTACTCGGCCGTGTCAGGCGTAGCTGGGATTCCTCCCCAGCCCCGGCCGCACACCCAGAGCAGCATCGGCCTCTTTCCTGGAGAAACTCGAGCAATTCCCATAGCGCAGGCACCTTCCTGCTCTCCCTTCCCTACCGGGCATCCAAGGAGAGTTCCTTGTAGCACTGGGTTCTTTGCACTTGAGCAGCCTTGGCTGAGGTGGAGCCAGCACCAGCCCTTTCCAGAGCACCAGCACAGAGAGGTGAGGAGCCAGGGGCTGATCTGCGGCTTCCCCGCGG